CATATCTATGAAAAAATAATGAATTATAATATTATATTTTATAGATTAGATTTCAATATTTTCTCATATATATCAAATATTTTATAGATATATATCTCTATGCTATAGTTTTTCAAATAATATTTATCTATAGATCTATATATTTATCGAAAATATAAATCTAAGAGAATAAATCTATAAGATTATATTTTTCTAGAATATGAAATATTTATCGAGAAATTATGATTTATAGATCTCGATAGGAAATCAAATAAAATTTATCAATTAATAATATTTTTAAATGAGATTTTCGATTCTTAATTTATTATATAAGTTTATGAAAACCCTCATATATATCTCGTATAATCAATCTCTACGATCTTTTATATCTTTTCAATATTTTATTCAGAATTCGAGAATTCATAAATATATAGATTCCCCGATTAATTAAATCTTTCTCCATAAACTTTAAGTCGAGATATCTAGAATATATAAGAAAATCAAAGATGAAATTATCATCTCAATTGTTGGATACTCTAATTAAAATACGGATTGTGCTGGTGCTCTTTGTATATACCATGGCATTATTGCTCCAATTGAACGAAGAGTTTCCTTTAAAAAAAAATAAAATCGGTATCTCCGCATGTTGCGCCTAGAACAACTCGATGGCAAGCACAGCCAACCCATTTCGCTAAGCTCGTGTACAACGCCGTTCAATCTTCTACGCGATTGTCTGCGTTATTCGCCGCTCATGCAGCCGATGTTCTCATAGAGGCAGTTGCCGGTGGCAGCCGCTGGCCTGTTAGAACAACTCCCAAAATCAAGCAAGCTGCCCAACTCGGAATTTTACTGATGGAGTGGCAAGCTCTCCTTCAAGCAGAGACACAACTCTCGTGTGCCGCCGCCCATGATGTGTACAAAAATGCAATGTGGGTTCGCCTTGTGGTGCGAGATCTTAACTGTCCCCGCAACACTTGCAGCCAGGAGCGCGAAGAAGCCACCTCAAGTGAGTGCCGATGCATGCACAAAGGCAGAGACAAGCTTGGAGAAACTTGGACCAGACAAGACATGAAAGCCCAGTCTCCCAGCCCTGCTTCAGTGCTCAGGTTCAGGCCGATTATCAAACGACGCCTCCAACTCACATTGTTCGACAGTCCTGCCGCCAGCATGGCAATATGGAAGCGGCAGTCCCCTGAAGCAGTGCGCTGAACTTACGCAACGCCCCGTTCCAGGCTTTCAAAGGTCCTTCATAGCTCAGCAAGAGCTCCTCCTCCTCGCTCCATTGCGACATCCACTGGAGCTCTTCCTGCCCACAAGGATAGTTCAGGGGAGTTCGAACCCCTGCCATCGGCCTGATGTTGACGATGTTAGTGCGAACACATAAAGCAGAGCTTCGAAAGGCAGGCCGACTTCGGGCCTTTAACTTTACACCTCAGGCATGTAGAGCTTAGGAGCACGCAGGCTGATTTGGGTTTGGATTAACCAAGACCAACGGGCCTGCAACCTGCCACTGAGACCAGGGATAGAAGCCACCGTGATCAGGTTTATAACTAAACCTAACTGCTGACGGCAGAAGGACTGGCTGTGATTACACGGATGGATGGATGGCTGGTGGGGTGTGACAGCCGTGGGTCAGGTCTCATCCTTTCAGCTTTGCAGCCCTTCGCAACGAGTGATTGGGATTCAAAGTCGCGATGCGAGGCATCAATCTGCTACACAGTCTTGCGCTGATGACGCACGGACTTCCAGTGTCTGCACCAACCCATGCAAGGACCGATCCGTCACCAAGAATAGTGGCAAGAACAGCAATCGCTTCAGCTGAAGCTGCACTGGACTGCTGTCACCACCATGCTAGCATGACCCGAGGTCACGACGGAGCCATCGGAAAGCATGGCAGCAGAAGCACGCTCAGTGGCTTGGACTTGCTGCACATTCTTCAGCAGATGATGCACTGAATTACTGCCACCACCAAGGTCAGGACAACCCATGTCACTACAACTGGTGGGCTTTTGATCCATGTGAGGGTTTAGGTGAGAGATGGCACGTGGAGGGGTGCTATGGTACATGCAGTATCACTGCTCTTCGGACGGGGGATGCACCTAGACAGATTGCATCCCTTCAATACCGGGCGGAAGGATTGGCCCAAGCGCTACGTCTTTCATACAGGGTTGTGGCAACGGACCCGGCAATATCTGTAAGAACCTATCTGTAACAGTATTGGTTGCTTGGCAGCCCCTACTGCCCTACGAAGCGTTTTCATAGAGGGAAGCTCCTTCGCCAGGGTCACATTGTGTGGCAGCACTGTGTCATGCTCAGTGGCTCGCATCGCCTGGCCAAGCGGCAAGGGAACACCATAGTAAATGAAGCAGGCATGAACTATGCTGACCGCACTTCTGTGGTTCGTGGTTAAACAGGAGGCACAAGGCTTGTCGGCACGAACACTGCTCCCGATCGAGATATTGCCCTCCCTGGCACTTCTAGTCCTAACGGTGCAAGGCTGTGCACATGTGATCGTTCTTCATCCCTGTCATTCTTGGCCACAGTCATAACCTCCGCCTGTGGAAGCTAACGGCCAGCAAGATTGAAATCTTCAACCAGCTCGAAGCCTCAAGCCTTAATACCAACTTAGTCACCTCAACTTAAAGCCCAGCACTCAACTGATGGCCTGCATTTCCTGCAGGGTGGCCACATACTCGCCGCTAAACTCTGACGGTGCAGTCCTCGGTCGGGTGTTCTTGGGGAACTTCTGAAATATTGTGAGAGGACTCATGCTTTCCAAGCTTTGGCTATCCTTGACCGTGTCCAAGGAAGAGTTTGTCAACGGTTCGCCCACATCTTTAGACGAGTTCTGGCAAAGATGATAGGATGCAACGTCTCAACATGTCCGAATTTGAGATATTGCCAGTGGGTCATCCAATGATTCGAAACTAGAGCAATACACCAGGTTGAAACAGCATTGAGATGCCGAGCAACGAGGACTCGACTCGACGAGACGTCTTACCAATACAGCTGGTCCATCATTACGACTTGAAGGAAAAGCTCGAGGGTGTAGCCAGGTCTTCCGAAACCAGCTTGTGCAGTAACACCACTCACATAAAGATATATGGATCGGACAAGTTGCACAGCAGTGCTGCCTGTCTTGTGAGGGAACGGGCACTCACGCGGGAAGACGTAGTGCCTTGGTGACTGTCTGTTTTTAGTTTAGCTCTCAAGCGATACCACTTTCGGCTGGGCCTTCATGGCCCATTCCCCACAACTGCTGTAAGCGTTACAGGGTGCTACAGATAGAGTTACAGTCAGTTGAACGGCCGTTCCAATCCGTACAGCTGAAAGCAATAGGGACCTCGAAGCAAACGATGGCAAGAAAAGCTGTACATGGACATGACTCTCGCCGTACGGTGTGACAAGCCTGTTGCAATGCCGGCATCTGAGGACTTTGCAACCATTGCAAGTACAAGCGACCATGCAAAGGAACCTGCCAATCGAAGGCAACGCACTCGGGACTGGAGCATCCGTTCTCTCAAAATGGTGAGCACGCTCCCTACGTCCCCATCTTCAGCTCCTGCAACTCCTAGAACGCGGTCCCTGCGGCCGTCCTCTCCGCCATTAGCTGCTTCGATGCTTCTCAGCTGCGCAGCCAGTGCGTCATCAATCCGGACAGAGCCTTCGTCCTGGAGAATTGCAGTGAAACAGATGCGAATGGAACCAGAGTCCAGCACCGGAGCATGCATCTGTTGCGCCAACTATGCTCGCTCGTTCTGAAGCGGCTGAAGTCCGTGCCCATCTGGCGTGAGCACTATCTAAGCAACGTAAACATCCTTAGCCGAGAGAGGGAACTGCTCCGGTCGCTGAAGATCCCTGTGTGAACAGAACAGCGGAACTTTTGCTGGACCCTGTGTAATTGCAGAGCCTCCAAAGAGGAAATTGTCGTCATGTTGCCGACCACTTCGAGAATACGGGCGGCCTGCGGCGACACAACACATCTACCCAAGGGCAGCGTGACGACGGTTCTTGTGGAGAATAGTGCCGGCCGCAGAAGGTCGAGATTCGGAAAGTCTGCTGATTGCATAAGGCACGAGTGGCAGAATCTTGCCGGAAGCATGGCTGCCAATGTGCACATGACATCAAAGTGCCGTCAAGCTGCGGTACACGATTTGCGTCTGCGCGGTTTTCGGAACTGCGAGTGCTCTTTTTGCGCATGATTCTGTAGCAGCTGCGTGTGGCAATGCACATCGCCACGAACGGCCCGCCTGCGCAGTTGGATGAGCGATCTCCGACTCGATCTCTGTCATGATTTCATTGCAGTCAGTGGTGCAGCACACCATGTAATGCTGCGTCGTGACGATGCCTGGCCAAGCAAGGTCCGGATCATCCTAGCCCTGCAGCGCTCCACCGAAAAACAGCAAACTTGCGGTAAGGGGAATCCTCAACGAAACTTACAAGGTCCAAAAGTAGTTCATCCGCGATACCCCCCAAGCCCATTCTCACTACTGCAAGTAGTTAAACTCTGGCAAGCCTTCAACCCTTTTCGCGTGCTGGCACCCGTCCTCTCAACGCTTTCCAGCCCCAGTTCCAAGCACGATCCCACTACTCTACCTGCGAAGTACTGATTATCTGACATCTACCGTATCTGCAGATCAACCTAGCCCATGGCAACTCAACATCGTACGATATCGTGCGATTTGGTGCAGTGCCGAGTGAGACCATGACTTCCCTTCACACACCAGATCCTGTGTATGGTACGCAGGAATGCAGTGCAATAGATGACAGTACAATGCTGTATGATACCTCAACACATGCACAGTAGTCTAATGACATGGTATCATTAAGTTTAAGGGAAGTCTCGTAAGTAGTTTTGGCTCGCTAGCATAGCCGAGCCACGCGTGTGACAATAGAGTCAGAATGACTCGGAGTAAGCACGTCCGAAGAGAAATCAGGATAGCATGAGAGCTGTGCGAGAAAAAGTTTATGCTGGGATAGTATCCGCAGGCACAGCGCCCAAATCCATGGCCAAGGAGCAGTTCGAGGCAGCTTGGATGTAGTTGGGTATGATGACCTGCGAGCTGCTCTGCATAAGCACGCTTGAATATGTCTTCAAAACCAGCCTTCTCCAACACGGACTGAAGAGAGAGAAAGGACCAGAAATTCTTTAAATTATCACTGCAGCACCCACTACAAAGGAGTGTTTTTCGTCGTAAACTCCTGTAATTTACGAAGCGTCCGATTATGGTCTCATTTGTACAATAGCAAAGATTCTGGCTGTGGAGTTGCGGGATCAGGCTGGTGAACTCGGTGCTTCGTCATGCAGGACTAGTTACTCTTCTGGTTTGACACATGAGGGGTGTGGAGCTCCGCCTGCTTGCCATGCATCCCCGTCTCGTCCAGTGCCCCGAGCTCTCTCAAGTAGGACCTGCTGAAAACGCGGGCTCCGAGTTCTGAGAGGTGCAGGGCTGTGGAAAGTTGCGTGCAACTTCATGAAGGTTAAATCAAAACCTGCAGTGCACGTCAAGCAAGGCGACACGGAGCCTCCGACCATCTCCACAAACAAGTCTGAAAAGGCATCAATGTCAACCAAAAAAACTCTTTCGGCCCCCAGCTAAACAGCCCTAAGCCCGTCGTCCCTCCACACCAGACACATCGGAAAATACTTGAGACTGGAGCAGTTCCACGCCAGTCACTTTGTAACATCGAACAAAATCGAGGAATGACTACTGCTTGTGCTAGTCGGTGAAGGAGCTTCGCCCCGCGCCCCGTTCTTAGCACGGGCTTTACAACATCGTTCCAATAACAAAAATCTTGCACCGCCGGAAGAGATCCGTCAAGGGGTGCTGCGTTGTTGCTTGGAGGGTGTTCGAATCAGTGTATGTAGGTGGTGCAAGATTTCCTCCATCCACCGTTTTACTACGACTACTACGACTGCTACTACGACTGATACGACTACGACTACGGCGACTACTACTACCACCACCACTGACGACGACGACTACCACTACTACTGCCTCTGCCAGAAATACTGGTGCTGCTGCTTCTGCTGCTGCTACTACTACTGGCGTTGCAACGACTTCTGCTACTGCCAGGTGTGCTGATGCCTAACACTGCTGCCGCCGCTGTTATTGCCTTTAAGGGACGATGGTGAGGACGACTGTGATGCTAAGATTATGAAGGAGTCTGTCACGAAGAAGAGAAGAGTCGTGGCAAAATGGCTTGATGTTTGTCAAGGGAGATAGCGCAGGCATGCTGCCAAGGGTGCCTCAGGACGGAGGTTGAGGGTTCAGGCAGTGGTGGTATCAATTATTAAACCCTGAAGATAGCACAGAATTGGAAAACGGAACCAGGCGGAAGTCTGACCCGAAGTGTCATTCCAAACTTCGGTGCAATGCGACAGGAACGGGCCGAGGAGCTTACACGGCGAGCCCAGGACGTTCTCTGAAATGCACCTATGCTCTCCGAACTCGCGGATGTTCGTGGAGGGCAAATAATGAGAAGCCTGCATGCTTCTGCAAGGAGGATGTCGCAGACAGCTGCAAGTCCCACATGGAGGACTACGGCCTTCACAACCTTCATGGAATCAACAGCGTTCAAAGATAGGAGCTCCTCCTTTGAGTGCAGACAGGTGCTGAAAGCCACTGGTTCAAGTTGCTGTGCTGCCTCAGAGCTGGAGGACTTCGTAAGCTTGAAGATGCAAGCAGTGGAACGCATCCAGGCCGAACTCTCAGTCAGGGCTCCGAAACCTTGGGACTTTCCGTCGTGGACTTCGCCAGGAAGACGTGCGGGTTTCCGTCCAGACGACGGTCTCGACGATGGAAGAGGCCCAGGGCCGAGCCTGAAAACGTTCCTAGCCGGTGAGCGAAGTGAAGTGGGACGGCAAGCTGAACCTCGATGAGAGCGTGTGGAAGTTCTAAGCTCCATGGACTTATTCGAGTGCGACATGGCAATGTCTGAGAACGAATTGCAGCAGGGTCTTGATGTTACTGTTAAAGTTCTTTTGGAGTTCATCAGATGTGGATGCACTGGATACTCTCTTTGCCGCGATGACTGTTGACGGCAGTTGTAGAATTTGCCAACACACAGAACACCCTCAACGTATATCTTGGTCGAAAACTGTTTGTGCTGTGTGGTCTGCATGCGCCGCACGTGGACATAGCTATCTTATCGGTGCTTTTTGCATGTTGAGAGTCGTTACATTCTTTTGTCCTTAGTGACCTCGGCACGGAAGTTCTCACGTACATACCGTATGTGCTGAAATCGTGCGTTCCCAGCTCGTACGGTCTGAGAGGCATGATGCAGGTGTGTACACGAGGTACGCTTTGCACCTTTGATCCGCCCTAAAGACCGACCGACACCCACCATACGGCCAGGAATCCGAACTTCTGACGACCCTCATAATGCGTATCGGTATTCCTTGCACCTGTGGCCTTGAGTTGGGGAGCGCGTGCGTCTTCGAGCTGTGGAACCGGCACGGAGCTGCAAAATCAATGCTCGGTACGCGGACCCCTGGGGCAAATCAATGCTCGGTGCATAGATCCCGGGCGGTTTTTCAACGTTCGGTATTGGCACACGTGCGTTTTCGATCCGTGGGTAAACGCACTGCTTTCGAAGGCAGAGGGCAAACCCAACACAGCTGGTATCTGAGTGGCTTGTAGCAGCACTCCAAAGGCCACGCAGGCAGTTGCCGCTCGCTGCCGGGCTGGGGAGCTCCTGGCTGAGCAGGCAGAGGCCAGGGGCCGTGCTCACAAAGGTTCTGACTGCCCAGTGCGTAGAGTACAGTGTGTGGAGATGATCCGAGTGCAATCAGCTGAGCGATTTCGCTTCTGAGCCGGCCCATAAGCCCTTTCTCCGGGACGAGGCCTAACGTCAATTGCATTCCCACTGGTAACCCTGCAGCGGAATGTGGCCGGAAGCAGTGCCGAGGGCGAGTCCTCCGCTGCAGCCCAGAATGCTCGAAATGCGCAGGCTCCGGGATGTAGTCACGGGCGTGTGCTTGTGTTTGCACGTGTCAGCAGTGTGCAGTGCGCGCGCTGCCTCCAGACTCCAGACCATGTGCCCAAATCTTTCCGGTGATGACTGCAAGTCAATGTTGCCACGCTTCGCTCCTGGCTCCACGCTGCATGCTTGCATCCTTTGATGGAGGGTTTAATGGTTTAGCTGAGGGGGGCGAATCTTTGTGTTGTGTTGTGCGCAAGCAAAGGTAGATGAAAGCATGATGCCACAACCACCATCTACACAAGGCAACGAAAGCATCTGAGCCAGAACGTAGACGATCAACCCTCAAGCATGATGAGCAGGATGTTGGCTTGCACAGACATTAAAATCATAAAAACCATAAATACGGTGGACTGCCCGAAACAGAGCTGATTGCAATGTGGAGTTCTGCTTGAAGAGCAGCAAAGAATGCTCCAGTTGTCTCAGCCTGCGCCCCGGATATCTAGTTTAAGAATCTATGAATGCATGAGGGGAAGGTGACCAGCAATCTCAACGTCACTCGCTGAAATGCAGGTCACCTCAGCCTTGGTTTGCTTGAAAGTTATCTATTTTGGCCGGAAAGGTAGTTGCTGCAGAATCTGGCATCTCCCTGCTTCTGCGTCCCTGCGCTGGCTCTTCATCTTCACTGTAAAGGTCTTCCCCTTGGTGGTTTCACTCAGGCATGGAAGACGAGGCGAGCAGAGTACGGCAGCTGACACTCTCAGTCCCTCGAATCGAGGCGGTCCTGCTGACAGTTGCAAGCGACTTCCCGCTACTAGTAACCTACCGCCCCCAACCGGACCTCCGTAGCAAGACAAGCCTTGATTCGGAGAGCTCTGCAGGTCAAAACGTACCGCCGAGTTTGCACCTACGCCGTCCTTCCGGCCAAAGTTGCACACCCGGAACCCGACCTCATCGCACGACAGGATGTCTTAGGCTGCAGGCTGGAAGAGACGGCCGTGGGATTGATGCATGCAGAGTCTCAAATCAACCGAACGTGCGAATGGCTGAAGATGGTACTCGTAGAGCTTTCAGTTCTGGGAACATCTTGGAACACGAGGGTCTAGCAATTGCCTCAGCCAGGACGGTCAGCGCAAGCCGGCGCACTTCGTCTACCATGTGCAGTGCAATTGGTCAGGTATGCAGAGGCAGGAAGTTGATCAACTATGCAATGGGACTGAATTTGGGAAATCCTGGACTACAAGCTGCAGCTTCAGCCCGTAGCGACGTAGCGCTGGTTTCCAAGGATCCACCAGAACGCCAGTCTTATGTCACTGTCTTTGCCCCTCTGGATAGGCCCGACTTAGAGTTCGGCTCCAATGCTGATCTGCTTTCTCAAGCGCCTTGGACCATGGCTAGACTCGATGTGGCAAGAGCCTAGAGCCGCTTTGTTAAGCCGTCGAAGCAAAGGAGCGGGGCGACTCCTGCTGGTTGTGGCCTGAGGTATTTAGGGTGCAAGGGCCTCCTGCAATTGCGGGTTGTGTCGGAGACGCTTTGATGAGGTGGGATTCCTTGCCAGCTTGCTACACCATCAAGAGAAAGTGGGCCGACCTTCACAGGCATCGCTGCTTTCACGGCTGTGACTTTGAAGACTCGAAGACAGCTCATCCAGGCTACACAGCTTGGTGGATTCTGAGCTGGCCTTTGACAAAGCTGGAGGTTTCCGCCGCGTGAAGGCAATCGCTTGTTGTTTGTGATGTGCTCTATCTCTTCCAGCATATTTGCCACTCTGCAGACACGCATGCCTCCGCTGCCGGAAGCTGGAGTGCGATCCTGAGTCGCAGGGCCTCCAGAGATAGACCTCCAGCTTCCGGATCTGGGGATCGCCCGATGTCTGAGGACCTGAACGACTTTCTGGTGACTCTCGCAGCCACGGGTGATGCAGCTTGGTTGCAGGTATGTTGAAGACGCAAAGCTTGCAACTCCTTGATGGGACATCGTCACGGCCTAGGTTCTGGCACTAAGCCGTCAGTGTCTCAGTGTTTTGATACCGAAGCTGTCTCTTTCTGCCTGTCTGCGTGCCTGTCCGTCTGTCTGTATCTCTTCCCTTTCTCGCACTCTTCCCTTTCCATTTCTCCCTCCCTTGCCCCTCCGAGGTCCGACATCGGGTAATCAGTCAGATGCCACAGGTTCATTCCGCTGCTTTCATGTGCAGTTGAATGATTAGGTATTTCGGGTAATGCAATCTCTGATGCTTCCAGTCCACCTTCACAAGGGCACATGGGGAACTGAATTGATGTAAACGTGTGCCAGACGCCTTTGATGAGCTTAACCTGCTCCACACGATCTACGTCGAGAATCGCCGGTCAGCTCAGGCCAACATGTGCTCGGGAAGGCCAGCAGCATTCGGAGCAACAGCAAAGAGTATCCATTGCTGCTATGCTAGCTAGGTCCCAACAGGCCCAAACTAAAACCCCTAAACCCCAAACCCTAAACCCCTAAACCCCTAAACCCCAAACCGCTAAACCCTAAACCCCTAATATCCTAAACCCTAAACCCCTAAACCCCTAAACCCCTAAAACCCTAAACCCCTAAACCCAAAAGGCCCCCTAGCTCAAAAGCCTGTGGCCCGGGCCTCTTTCCGAGGCCTGGGCCCATACTTCGCAGAGTTGAACAAGGCCAGGATAGGGTTTAGGGTTTAGGGGTTTAGGGTTTAGGGTTTAGGGTTTAGGGTTTAGGGTTTAGGGGTTTAGGGTTTAGGGTTTTAGGGGTTCAGGGGTTTAGGGGTTTAGGGGAGTCCGAGCTGGGGCGTCTGGAGCGGCCTTCGGGACCCATGGGTAGTTTTCTAAATTAGGGTCCCTTTTTCGGTCCCCAATCCCTTTTTAAACAGGACCCTAAAAGGGACCTTAATTTAGAGAACTACCCCCATGCTTCGGGAGTAGCAGAAAATAGCGCTTGAAAGCCCTGCGATATCGGACGAAACACATCGGGAAGGAGTTGATTTAACTTGGCTGCGATTGGGATTCTGGTGTTCGCTTCAATGTGGTGTGCGGCAGCGAAGCTGCTTCTGTCAAAGTGGGTAAGCTGGCACACGGAGCTGCGTGTACGATCTTGAACGCTAGCCAGCACGGAGAAGGGTTTCTGCTATGCCAGGCGAGGGGAGTCTGGCAGAGAGCATGTCAATTATTAGCTTCGGTGTCGGTCCTTTCCCAACAAGCTTCGCTGATGAGAGGCACTCTGACAGTGTTGATGCAGTATGGCAGAGATTATCGTCAGTCCTGCCACCCTGGGACCCCGATGTCAGTGTGAGGTCTTGGCTGAAATTCCCTGGCAGCTTCTTCAGGCTTTGATGGCTTGCTTGGACTGGTGATAGCAAGCTCGGGGTGCGGCAGCTCGTGAGTGCGCAACGCCGAGTCGAAGTACTCCGCTTTCAGAATTGCAAGGGTTCCCCAGCCACCCATGGCAGGACTGCCTCCCGTTGAGAAACTTCGCAACAAGCGGCGTGAGCTGCCGGCCAAGGCTGAGCGAGCTGATATGGTCATTGCTAACCTATTGGGGATGCAGCGGGATGCAGAATGCTTCAGAATGCCAGCAGAGACTTCCGCAGAGCTGTGAAGGGCGGGCAGCAGAGGAAACACCTTCTGCGGGAAAGGACGCCGGCTTGTAAGACACAGCTACATAGGCGGAACATGGTGGATCTTCGCGGGTGAGCTTGTTCCCTGATCTGGCAGTCCGCTTTTGCCAGGACCCTTCGTCTTGGAGCCCAGCTTCTATCATGCGGCGAGCAAGAAGGAGCTTGGGCCTCAGCGGAGCCCAGAGCGGAGCAGCTGTGACTGTGCCCAAGTCGTAAAAGCCGGAACAGGAGGGACACGGACTGTTTCAGTGCACGCCACAGGCTGCAGCGATGCCGGGAGGCACGCGAAGCGAAGACGAAGGCCAAGGAAGTCCATGCGCCAGGCCGCCTGAGGAAACGAGTTGCATAGCACGGGCGGTTCCCTTCAGAGCACGCAGAGTTGTCGTGCTCAAGGCACAGAGAAGCCCAAGAAGTTGCGGCGGGAGCCTTCTGGCAGGTGCCGGGCTCACCGGGCGCTTTTTGATTCTGCGACCCACCTTTCAAACAGCTGGGCGGTTTTCGATATGGAACCTCAGTGGCCTTCATGCAGGTTGGACAGCCAGTCCTTGGCCAGTCCTGCCAGTCCGGCCAGCCCTACCAGCCCATCTTCGCGAAGGATGTCCCGCAGGCTGTCGCATCAAGGCCGCCAGCGCCAACATGTGCCAAGGGAGTCAGAGCTTGGTGTAGCAGTGGAGAGGCAGCCGCACGATGCTGGCCAAGTCCAATTCGTTGCCGCTGTTAGAGGCGGAGGCCCGACAAGACCTGTCAAGCAAGCAGGGTGCCAACGAAACGAACTGCAACTGCTTCGTCGCGAAGCTGCAGGGTTGGAGAGTCGCAAGCGAAGCGTTTCAGACGGACGGACGGACGGTTGAATCATTGAAGCTCCCTGTAGTTCGAAGATCCGATGTCGCGAGAGTCGCCAGAGCTGCTGCCTCAGGAACCAGACTCTAGACTTCGTGTCACCTCTCATATCGCACGTAGCACGACGGCATTCGAGTGGTGTGGTAGCAGTCGGAAGCCCAGGTTCAGCTGGGACGAGCTTCAGAGCTTGGAGGAAAACCTTGCGTACTGCAGAACCACCAATGCTCGATCTTTCGCTTGAAGAGGGTGTCGTCTTTTCGCTGCAAATGCTCTGGAGGACAGCAAGAGTCACGACAGGCCTTGGTTGTAGCTGGCATCTGCAAGCCGCAAGCATCTCTGCCGCGAATGTTCTCGATTGGCAGGGCTGTAGCCAGTCAGAGCATGCAGCTGCACTGATGACTGCTTGGCGAGGCTCGCATGCTCCCATTACAGTTTCTTTGCCCTTCGAATGGGCAAGAAGGCCTGCCTGCCGGGGAGCTGCTTTGGTGCCTCCAAGCCAAAAGCCTTGTACGGAAAGCATCTGGCAGCCGGAAGAGCGCTCAGAGCAGCAAAACTGGTTGACCTGCACCAGGACTTGGCTCCTTGCGAGAAGGACTACTGGAAGAGGATGGCCCTGAAGGCAGTGCGGCTTCGAAACTGGCTTTGGTTTCTGGATGTTACTGGCCTGTGACGTGCCTGGCCAGAGGAGAAGCGAGAACTGGGGCGCCGAGCACAGCTCCTGCCCCAGGAACTGCTGGCACCCCCCCGCTCCAGGCACGGAGCTGCGTACGGGAGCCGTGTGGTCGGAGTGCGGCCAGCCGCCAGGCCGATCGACGACTTGCCGGACGAAACGTCGACGTGAGCTCCCAAGTCGAAATTCTTCGAAACTGCAGGGGGCTCTTTCTCTAAGATGTGCGACAGTTGCAAGGTCGGAGCAATGCTTCGTGTAGTGGTAGTGCACCGATGCCCGTGCTCCCTCGGCACTAAGCTAAGTTACTCGTAGCATCTCCGGCTCCTCGGCTCCTCCTTTTTCCCAACTCTTGCCTTCGTGATTTTAGTTATGCTCTCGCCAGGTTCAGCAGCCGGAGCTTTTGGCTGAGCACTCCAGACGCGTCCGGGTCCTTGCTACTCTCGCGTCCTCAGAGTGTCCTCGAGAGCGACCTCGTCCAGGATATATGTCTGCAAGTATGCAAGGCAAGTTGAGGGAAGTTGGGGTTTTGCGAACGATTGATTTTGAAATATGGCCCTGATTCCCGAAACCGAAGCCCTTGGCTGAGCAGCTGAAAGCCAATGCCTCGTCCATCGGGGAGATGTCACATGGCACACGACATCACAGAACAGCGCATGTTTGTAGCTGGTTTGTCCTGCCTAGTGGATGCGACGATCCCATCAGCTGAGGCTATCGGCGAGCCAATCTGTCGAGCGCCTGCCGGCGTTGCCACCCCCGGGCTTCAACGAGCCTTTTCGAGAGGCCTGCGAGCGGCAGCAGGAGAAGCAGCAGCAGGTGGTGGTGGTAGCAGTGGTAGTGATGGTGGTGGTAGTACTAGTAGCAGAAGCAGTAGTAGTAGCAGCAGCAGCAGGAGTAGTGGTGGTAGTAGTAGTAGTAGTAGTAGCAGTAGTAGCGGAAGCGGCAGCGGCAGCGGTACTGTAGCAGTAGCAGCAGTAACAGTAGTAGCAGAGCAGCAGTAGTATCAGTAGCAGCGGACGCAAGAGGAGTAGTAGAGTCGTCGTTGTCGTAGTGGTAGTCATAGCAGCAGCAGCAGCAGCAGCAGCAGCCGCAGCAACAGCAGGAGGAGGAGTAGTAGTGGTGCTTAACAGCACGAAGCTTCTGCCATGACATGGTGACGGTAAGTACATGTGCAGCAGTTATCATTAAACTACTCAGAACAGCAATCTTGTCAGTCATCCTAGCTGTGCTCGGAAGAATACAACGAATATTCCTAGGTAGGAATCAGAGGTGTAACCATTTCGTGCAGTCATGCTGCTAATAATCAGGGCTCATTTCCCCAATGACAGCAGAAGTGTTATTTCAACACCAGTGTGATGATGATAATGTTATTAATGATGATGCTGGCTCATGGGGTCATGACATGCAGTGATGATGATAGCAGCAGTCATACTGGTGATGATAGTGCTGAGCCATCATTTGGCCCGTTCTCGTGCTAACCAAGTCAGCAATACATGTTGAACATTCTCATGATCTTCTTCGGATATAGTCACACTCAAGAGAATGATCTTCATAAGTGTGAGAGAAATGAGATACCTGTAGCATTAATGCACATTAGTGCTGATCATCGACAATACAGTCACTGAAATGATTAGTGGGGGCAGGACCAGCTGACCAGCTATGACCGGTAAGCGCGGCTATGAATACTCATCAGCATGAACACCGCCTGTGTGCAACCAAGAGTCGAGACGTGAGCACGTCTGCAGGGATCTGCGGGAACCAAGAGGAGCAGGCGGGCAGAAGCTCTGGCAGCAGCGTTGCAACGCTAGCCTGAAAGGCTGCATGCATCACAAGCTGTAGGCGTTGCACGCAGATATGGACAGCTTGTACCCGATGTCATTAGAGTCATTACCTGTACCAACTATTGACGTGCTGAAAGTCAGGCCAGTGTCTGAGCAGAAGTCGTACGGTGTGGCAGCACGCCCAGAAGCGCAAACATGTTCTGAAGCAGGTGGTACAACGTGGAAGGTGGAATAGGCAGTTAGGGCTTGATAAAAGGAATCGCGCATCTGCAGTAGCTCAGTAGCTGCTGCAAAGCCTTGCAATTCTTTCTGCTCAGGGCCTTGCCTCCCTCATGATGAAGCCTGCAGAGAGGACAGAACACGGGGAGGCCCAGATCATCAGCTTTGACGTCAACTCCACCCTTTTTCGCTCCTGTCAATCTTGTGAGAGTTGCTGGGTGGGGCGCCGAAGTCGCATGCTGGCAGGTCGTGATGCGAGATCTCTGCGAGGGCTTTCAGGTCTGCCTCCTTGGCGAACCAGCCCCACAGGCCGGAGGCAGAGTAAGAGGGGAACACCTGTTTTCTTAGCTTTGGTTAGTAGGGAATGAAAGAATGGTAGTAATAGTAGTTATAATTGTACCAAATGCCTCCATTCTAAACCCTAAACCCTGAACCCTAAACCCTAAACCAAAGGTAAGTTTTGTGAATGGTTCAACATGGCACTCTCGCCTGGAGCTCAAAGTTCAAAGTACGGCAGCCAGGTGCCACGAAGCATGCGCCTCAAGGAGCCCATGAAGATCTACCGTCTTCCTGGCCGAGAGGAGACTATGAAGGCCCTCTGCGAATTCGAAGAAGTGCAGATGAAGGAGGCTAGAGTCAGAGTGATGGAGCTGATTCACGGTGCCACGAGAAGTTGAGTTACGGATCAATTGACAAAGCGCGGGTGAAGTACGAGGGCCCTGGCGCCTCTTGTCGAACGCTGACCCAATCTTCGAGTGACTGACTCTGCGTCTCTTGGTGCGCTTGACAGAATTGCCCAACCAGGTGTACCGAGTTTACTGCAACCTGCTGCAGTCCGAAGGCGCTCTCCGAAGCTTCCAGGACGTTGTTTGCCGCATTTCACCACTTGCCAACAGCACAGTCAGGGATAGCAACAGCTCTGTTCAGAAAGCTTGTGTTTGTCGCAGGGGTGGATCCTGGCGGCGGGCTGCTTCCTGAGCTTCCGCCCGACAAGGACCTAGGGACTGCACAGCACTCGCCCAACTCATAGCTTGGCTCGACAGAGGTGGGGGTTTCCGAAAATAGGGGACCCTAATATGGTACCCCAAATAGTAGGATCCTTATTATAAGGACCCCAAAATAAGGTACCCCTTATTCTCGGAAACTCCTACATTGCAAAACGGATCAGGCGACCTACTAGTTGACCATACAGTAGAAGCCCTAGTGTCTTAAGACTGATGTTGGGTTTAGGGTTTAGGGTTTAGGGTTTAGGATTTAGGGTTTAGGATGTAAGGGGAATCCCAGCACTAATTGTCCTTAATCCAGTTCCAACCTTTTCGGGGCTTACGAGAAGTCAGGTACCGGTACATAAAACCACCGACAGTCCAACCAAGGTACCCTAAACCCAAAACCCTAAACCCTAAACCCTAAACCCTAAACCCTAACTAGCCCAGCCCCTGGTCCTTCCAACTCCACCGCCATACAGAAATCGAACTTAAATCATAAGATGGACGCCCCATACAAGTTAGGGTATACTCCTAAAAACTCCTTAGCTACCTACATATTTAATCTTTATAAACCCTACACCCTAAACCCTAAACCCCTAAACCCTAAACCCCTAAGCCCCTAAACCCTAGACCCTAAACCCTTAATATGGACACCCCTGCAATTTAGGGTACACTCCTTAAGACTCCTTAACTAAAGGGAGCTATCTACCTGTTAAATCATAATAAGCCCTAAACCTCTAAACCCCCAAACCCTGAACCCCTAAACCCCCAAACCCTGAACCCCTACACCCTGAACCCTGAACCCTAAACCCTTAAATCCTAAACCCTGAACCCTAAACCCCTAAACCCTAAACCCTTAATATGGACGCCCCTGCAGATTTAGGAGTGTGGTAGTCTCTCTGGGCATGGCCTGGTCTCTTTTCTCACCCAGCAGCCAAGGCGGTGCTTAGCTGCCGCCAAGGGGTCGTAGGCACTTCTGTGGATGTGGACGGTCTATAGTTCTAGGGTCTAGGGTTTAGGGTTTAGGGTTTAGGGTTTAGGGTTTAGGGTGTTTAAGGTTTAGGGTTTGGGGTTTAGGGTTTAGGGTCTGTGGATGTGGATGGTCTATAGTTCTAGGGTTTACCTGAACCCCAAACTAACCTACAGTTTTAAGAACTTATGAAAAGAAATCAGAATAGGGATCCCTAGAGAGAGCGGTTTTATAGGGTCCAGGGAGGGTTTAAGCTGAAGTGTTTAGTTCTTGGCTTTAGTTTTTGGTCTTGGGCGCTTGAAGGTGAGGTTTACGGGATCGGGCTTAGCGGCCCTGTTGGAACTGTAAAGGCCCCTCCGTTAGTCTTTGGTCTTTGGGGTACCCTAAACCCTAAACTCTACAAGGCTTTAGGGTGAGACCCTTCGGCGTTTGGAGCTTGGGGTTTACGGCTTCAGGGCTCCGGGCTTAAGGCTCAAAGTTCAGTGTCAGGGTCTAGGATTCCGGGTGAGTTAAGGTTTAAGTTTTAGGATTTAGGGTTTAGGGCTTAGGGTTTAGAGTTTAGGGTTTAGGGGCTTAGGGTTGAAGGTATAGTTTTATTAAGGGTTTTACATAATTAAGGCTGGCCGGTCAAGTATCATGCAGCTAGGCTGCATATCTCATGACGCCTTCCAGCTTCCTGGCACACAGTCACAAGTGACACATGTCCGTGCATCCAAAGCCAAAATTTAGGGCTTAGGGTTTAGGGTTTACCCTAAACGCTTAACCCAAAAAACCTGAAACAGTTTAAACCACACACAACGGCTAGACCCCTTAACCCTAAACCCTCACGCTGAAAGCCCTTAAGCCCTGACCTCCTTCATGCTTCACCCGGAACTACCCCCGGCTTGGTGCACCCTAAACCTCCCCAAACACCCAAACCAGGGTTTTAAGGTTTTGGGTTTAGGGTTCACCTAAAACCCTAAACCTCAGACACTGAACACCCCGAACCTGAGCCACGAGACTTTACCTGCGCTAAACTCTTCAAAAAGTTTGAACATGCTCTTAAGTGGGGATCTAGACAGGATCGGCAAGCCGTAAACCCTAAACCCTAAGCCCCAAACCCTAAACCCAAAACCTTAAGCCCCAAACCCTAAACCCTAAGCCCTAAACCCTAAACCCTAAGCCCTAGTCCCTAAACCCTAAACCCAAAACCCTAAACCCTGAGCCGTAAACCCTAAGTCTTGAAAGCTAAACCCTAAGCCCTAAACCCTAAACTCGAAGCCCAAAACCCAAAACTCGACACCCTAAACCCTAAACCCTACACCCTAAACACGAAACCCTAAAACCCTGAGGGGTCTAAGACCTGGCGAGTTGGGACCCCCGGCGTCTTCTCCTCCAGGGCTTCGGCCACGCCTGGGTTCTCAGGCTTGGCTTGGGGCTTTAGGGCTTTAGGGTTTCAGGGCTTTAGGGTTTTAGGGTTTAGGATTTTAGGGTTTAGGGTTTAGCATTTTAGGGTTTAGGGTTTTCGGGTTTGGGGTTTAGAGTTTTCGGGTTTAGGGTTTGTTTAGGGTTTAGGATTTAGGGTTTAGGGGTTTTGGGCTTTTGTTAGCCGAGTCCTTTCTCCGAGGTGTAGAGTTTAGGGCTTGGTAATACAGGGGTCTTCAAGGCTTAGAATTGGGTTCCTCTGAGAAGGGTTTATAAGGGGGTTGCTCGAAGTGTCATTATAAGGGTTTTATCACAGGGATGTGAATATAACGGGGCGTTGTGACAACAAACTGTGGTATGACATACTCTGTCATACGATAAGGAAGCACTTAAACCCTGAAACGCAGGCCGCTTCCCAAAACCCAAAACCCTAAACCCTAATTAAACCCTAAACCCTAATTAAACCCTAAACCCTAAACCCTAAACCCTAAACCCTAAACCCTTCCCAAAGTGGCCGAGGCTCGAGGAAGGTCCGCTCGGGGGAGCTGGTTCGCAAAGACGGGCACGGTCTCTAAAAACTTGACCCGCTCCTCGAATTCCTCTCTCTGGCCTGGGGTTTAGGGTTTAGGGTTTAGGGTCTAGGGTTCAGGGTTTAGGGTTTAGGGTTCAGGGGGTTCTTGGTTTCTTGGCGGTTTAGAAGTTGGGGGGTAGAGTTTTGCGAGATTTAGGGCTTGGGGTCTGGGGATTTAAGGGGTTTGGGTTCCGGGGTTTGGAGGTTGGGGGGTTTGGGGTTTGGGCATCGGGAGGGCGAGTCATGCACAGCTCCAAAACCAAAGCCAGCCTAGGCGAAGTTTTGTCATGCGGTGGCCGAGAGGCTGTGATACTGCTGCATGCGCCAGGAAGTGGGCCAGAGCCCTTCCAGACAGGAGCAGGTATCATTTGAACCACAGAGGCGTTGGCCCATCGCTGAGAAAAGGGAAAGCTCGCTCAGGGCCTAAGGGATGTGGGGCTGGCAACCTAGGTGTCTGCCACCTTGCAGGGGAAGTCTTTTGGTCTCTGGCTGAGTCCTATAAACCCTAAACCCTAAACCCTAAACCCTAAACTCTAAACCCTAAACCCTAAACTCTAAACCCTAAACCCTAAACCCTAAACCCTAAACCCTAAACCCTATTCGTTGGCTTCTGGCTGGGCGCTGGTAGTGTGGTCGGGTTTAGGGTAAGCTCGGTGTGGAACTCGCTGAGGCTTAGACACAGAAGCAACCACGGCTCTGTCTGAAAAGCTGCGCCGAGCAGGCAACCGTAGACTTGCAAAGCGCAGCAGCTTTAAGGCTCAAAAGGCTGTGCCAGCTGAGCTTCAGTCCTTTTCACCTTTCCGCTCGCATCTCGGGTCGGAAATAAGGTCGTCCTGGTCACAGTCGGCCCCGTCATCGGCCAGTCGAGCCTCAAACCGTGTTGTGGTTGTCGCCCTCCTCCTGATCGGCGAAGGTCCATCTCCCATCCTCTCGCCATCCTCCTACTTCTGCCAGAAGCTCTCTCCATGGCGCCGTGCTGTGCAGCTCTGATCTTCCGGGGGCTCTGCGGCCGGGAGCTCTGAGACATCATGCCGACCACTGGCAAATCATGATCGCGTCGAGAAAGGCCTGTAGTCGGCCCAGCTGCCACATCCGCCTGCGCCTCCGCCCATCCCAGACATCACCGCACTTTGAGGCAGATCCCGGCTCTCGGAAGCGCCATGGCCGCCATTGATTCGTGGCCCGCTGGCCACGGCGCCTCCAGCGGCCGGGGCCACGTTCCGCGTCCTCGGGATGCAGGGTTTCGGGTTTAGCTCAAACCCGGATCCCAATGCAAGCAGCAGCCAGCACGAGCAATGGCCAAAACTTATGAAAATAAGAAAGTCAACACTTACCTAGAGCCTCCATCTGCCCTGTATTAAACCCTAACAACTCCTACTTAAAAACCATAAGCCAACATAAAGGGCTCAAGGAGGCTACTGCTGACTGTTGCCAACTGACAACTCCGAACAAGGCCAAGGACCCCCAAAACGGGGTCCCGCAGTCTTCTCTTTCTCCAATCGGCAAAGGAGCACACATAATGACTTTTACAATACCCGTATAGTTAGTTTAGGGTTTTTAGGGCTTCTATAAGGCTTCTATAAGGTATATAGACCTTCTATAAGGCTCCTCTACGGCAACTACCCACCTGAAAAGGTCCTAGATATAGCACTCTTTAAAACAACCCGGAAAGGAGCCCTACAGGATCCCCTCAAGGATCCCTTAAAGGAGGCCCTTAAAGGACCCTTGAACCCCAAACCCCAGACCCTAAACCCTAAACCCTAAACCCTAAACCCTAAAACCCTAAAACCCTAAACCCAAAGCCCTTGAAGTAGCCGCAATTTTTCAAACTGAGCCAGGTCAGCCAGGTCTCCCAAGTCGTGGCGTCTTTGGCGCCATGCTCTGCGGGTTCGGCGCCCCCATGCCCTGGGGACGGCATCGGGCAGTTAGGGCTCTTGGGTTAGGGTTTCGGGTCTCGGGGTTTAGGGTTTAAGGTTTAGGGTTTCGGGTCTTGGGGTTTAGGGTTTTGGGTTTAGGGTTCAGGGTTTCGGGTCTCGGGGTTTGGGGCTTAGGGTTCTTGGGATTAGGGTTTCCGGTTTCGGGGGTTTGCGGGATTAGGGGTTTAGGGACTTCGGGTTCATGGGGTTTTGTTCAGGGTTTCAGGTCTGGGTGTAGGGGATAAGGAAGATGGTGTCCGTATGATGAACAGGATGATGGTCATGATGATGATGATGATGGTGATGATGATGATGATGTTGTTGATGATGATGATGATGATAATGATGATGATGATGATGATGATGATGACCATCATCATCATCATCATCATGATGGTGATGGTAATGGTGATGGTGATGGTCATGACGATGACTATGATGATGATGACGACGACGACGAGGCTGATGATGATGATGATGATGATGATGATGATGACGCTGATGCTGAT